GTCAGGTCAGGTCAGGTCAGGTCAGGTCAGGTCAGGTCAGGTCAGGTAAGTAAGTAAGCAAGCAAGTAAGTATGCAAGTAAGTAAGCACGCCCAAACAGCACTTAGAAGTTAAACAAATGCAAGGAATGAATGTCACAGCCGCTGCTTCCGTGTTTGGCCGAAGCACCTCGTCGAAGGTGAAACAGCGGAGATGCTTCTCCTGACCGGTGATTGCAAGGCTGAGAAAAGCTTAGATACATCTTGGAAGCCTCCAACATCTGCTGATGGGTCTGTTTATGCAACTGCTTCGTCCTTGCGTCCTTGGCCAAAGTGGGTTGACAAAATCTGGTGGAGCTGTTCAGAAACCGGCTGCGCAAGTGACTGTCCCTGTATTGGAGGGTATGCTAGTGTTGCATTGAAACACCTATCGGATGCACGAAACTGTCATGGTCTTTGATATCTACGCGAAAGGTCGTGAAAAGTGTCATACATTCAGAAACCTTGGAACCTTTGTGGGCTCTGGGCGACAGTGAGTACCATGGGGACTGCAGGGGTGTCTCGTTGCTTGGACCGTTCGGAGAGCTCTCCGCCCAGCTGAGGCACTCCTTGGGATTCAAACGGGGGAAGAAGGACAGACCCGCAATAAAAGCCGTAGCCGTAGCCGTACGAAACACGTCGTGCTGCTGTTAATGGTATGGGAAGACGGGACATCAAGAGGTCCCAGTAGCGCCTAAAGACTGATTTTCGCGCAAGTTTGACATTGCTCAGCAATAGCTGTCTTTGCTTATGGGTCAAGTCGATGGATCTTGTTGCTGCAAAGGATCACACCCCTGTTGTTGCTGCAAACACTGTTGCTGTCTCCACCTTTCCAAGCGTCTTTCGTGGTGACAAAACTCGGTGCACAAGGCGGTCCAGCACACCACACGCGACAAGCAAGATTTGGCACGTGAGTTCCAAACAAGAAGACTGTAACCCAATAGCCATGTATACGCATTTATATATACATATATATATATATATATATCCGCCGACCCCGCCGGTTGAAGGGGGCACGCGCCAGAGAAGGCAACCGAGGGCATGCTTCGAGGCTTCCGAGGCGTTTCCGTCACAGCAGGCGGATTGAAGCGTGGCTGAAGGTCCGAGAGCGGAAGAAAGGGCGTGCTCGACGCTGCTTCACAGACTTGTTTTACGGGTTCCGAAAGCAACGTTAGACATTCTGGGGGCGTACGGGGAGGCCCTCTTTAGAGCGATATTTGGTCTCGAATTCGATGGTGGAAAAGCGTGGCGAAGGCAATCACTCGGAACAGGTGTCTACCAGCCAGAGGACCCGTGGGAGGTG